TTTTTTTTTAAACTCACATTTTTATATATATTACTTGTGTCACTTAAAACGTGAACAAATCTGATGTAACTTGAAAAAGTTAAAAACACCATGGAACCTCAACCATCAAGTCAAATAGAGGCTTAGGCACACTGTGTGTGTTTGGATACATACACATGGGCTCTGAATGTGTAGACCGGTTCCACATCGAAAGAGGCACTTCTGGAAAAAACAAACAAAAACAACAGTCAAATAAACAAGCAGATTGTTACTTCATCATCAAACAGACTCTTCTTCAACTCTGTTACAGGCAGCAGTGACTGTTTTTCACTGTACGACAGTAAGTCCTGAGGGGTATTATTTAAAGGGATTATTTGTAAGACACTGACACATCAGAAGCTTGTGGTGTGAGTTTGATCAGAATAGTGCCATGGAAACGCAGTGATGAGGAGAAAATGAGATGCTAATACTGAAAGGATCTGCCAGGTTTGTAAGGAGAGGATTTTCCTCTGAAGCAGAGTGAATAAAGCTTTTCTATGTGATGAGGAAATACTGTCCATGCTGAGCGTTCTTTTCTCAACCGACTGAACTTTTTCTTCTTTCTTTTTTTTAAATTTAGGATACCCTTTAGAAAAATGATTTTTGCTTTGATCACAGCTTTGCAATGTTGCCAGTATTTCAACCAGCTCTGAGGTCTTCACTGCAAATGGTTTCTAGAAGCAACCGTTGCAACAAGTTAATCACTGGAAATTCTTTCCTCAATACAAGACCATCACTTATGTTGGGTTAATGTAATGCTGGTATCGAGCAAACAGCCTTATTTAACTATTGCAGTAATCCCAGTTATGGCAAGAACTGTTCAGCTAAGAGAAACGAGCATAATCATGCTGTAACTAGAGAAGGTCCCATTGGGATCACAGCAGCAAAGACTAAGGTGTTCAGGTGCTGGCTATTTAAGTAAAGGCAATGTCTTATTTTACATAAACAAAGTCATCCAGGTCATTGTAGTCTAAGGAGCTTGAAAAGAAAAGAGTCTGGACTTCTTTAGGTTTCCTTGAAAACGTTTCACCTCTCATCCGAGAAGCTTCTTCAGTTCAGAACTTTTCTTTCCAAGCTCCTCAGACTATATATTTTGGTGTAATTTATGCCAGAGTCTTTTGATTATTCTGGTAGTTCTGCTTGGAAGTTTATGTGTACATCTGGTGTTACTCTACTTTTTGGCAGGGACAGTCTTGGTGAGGTTCCACAGTTTAAGGGTGTGATCCTCGGACACGGTGACCAGGCAGGGCTCAACGGGGTGAAAGTCCAGTGCTCGGACACCATCGAAGTGGCTCCTTAGCGTGTACTTGGGGTTCCATGTCTTCCTGAACGAAGACTCCTTACTGGACGGCAGCTGAGGAAAAGAAGATGTCAATGTTAGCGCAATTTCTAAAGAATGTTTGAGTTTTAAACTGCAGCTTAGGTTTTTTTTTTCCTTACATCATAGCCATAGTCTGTTTCATCGTTGGTGACTGTGAGGTCGGCAAGGTCACCCAGTCCCAGCACGCTCTCCAACACATCATCTGACCCCCCAAGTAAGAAGGACTTCCCCCCGCCAGTAGGAAATGGTAGAGGCTCCGCTGAAGAGTGAGAGGCTTTAATAAACACACTGTACCTCTCTATTACAAGATTATATTCATTAGCTGTTGTCGTAATGATTTTACAGCCACACAATTCATTAATTGGAAAAATATTCATCAATAATTTACAATTTGCATTTGTTTATTTAAGGTGAATATCATTCAACAGACAGAGCAAAGGACACAGCCTTCATGTATTTACAATCAGTGGGATTCATGTACATCTCTTACCCCACTCTGTCCCGTCTCCGGAGCTCCGAGCCTCACCCGCCCCTTCTCCATCCTCAGCCGTCACCAAGAAGTCAAACTCCTTTAGAGCCTCCTCTGTGTCGGCATCATCCTCTGACGCTAAGCCCTCGTTTCCCACCTAAAATAGCAGGAGAGGAAAGAGAGAAAAAAACACAAAACACAAGTTAAGAATTAAGGAAGAGGTGTTGAAGGACGGCAGAGTAAAGGAAGGAGGTACAGGGGAAAAGAACTACAGTGGTGATTTAAAAGGGGGCTGCCTGCTCTCTGTTTACCTTGGTCTTATGTTTCTTGGCTCTGTGATGTTTGTCAGTGCTGATGTCATCCATCAGGTCCCCCTCCTCATCATCGTCTTCATCGCTGTCTTCTGTGTTTTCCAGAAAGTTAAAAGTCTCCAGAACATCACCTGGACTCCTGGATATAAACACCAATGTTGTTACACTTAAGCTTGTCTGCTGGGTTGTGTTTGTGCTTAAACTGTCAGTGTGGTGGGAGATGTCACACTGGGGAGACTTGGCTCCTTTTCATGTGAAAGCGATATTAGGTTAGGTTTGGGTTCGGGCCCACTATCTTAGGCAAAGGCTAGGTCATGGTTATAATAACTTAAGGCAAATGTTAGATTCAGATGTAGCTAGAATAATATAAACACTGACCTACTGACCAGCATGAGAGGAAGAGGATGTGGTGCTGCTCATGTTGAGATGGTAAACACAACAGTGGACAGTGAGAATCCATGTTTTACAGTGGGGCATGAAACAAAATCAAGCCTTGAGAGCAAAGAAATGAAGCTTGATGCTGAATGAACTTATTCTAGATAGGCAAGTAAGCAGTTTGTTACAAAGGAACTAACAATTTGTGTTTGTTTTGCTGTTTTATGTTTTTTTGTTACTGGAGCGGTTTACACAAAAGCTGAAATCAGTAAAGTACTGGCTAGTACTGCATGTGAACAATATAAGCTCAGTGTTATCTTGATCGCTTTCAGCTGTGTGTGTGTGTCTGTACCTTTTGTCCTTGCGGCGCTCGGTCCCATTGATCAGGTGCTGCAGGTTCTTGTTCTCCACAGATCCATTCTGCTCTGAGCCCGACAGGCCAAGCAGAGAGCGAACCCTCTGAGTACGAACGTCCAGGATGGTGTCTGTGTATCCGACTTCCTGTAGGTACCTGACCGCCAAACAAACACGTGCACACTGTAAACTACACACCATTTGGTCAAATACTGATTTTTGTTAACAAATTAATTCAAAAAGTTATTTCAGCATTTTGCTTCCACTGCAAATACAAGTGCTTAAATGTTCTTACTGTCTGAGCAGCTGTCTTCCTTGTTTCCAGGTGAGCTGACTGTTGGCATGAACAGCAGAGACCTCTGAATCTTTGGTGTCTAAGGACAGAAACAGAAACAGTGATTTATACAGCACTGCCTGCTGGACACAAAACAGAGACGGCTTTCATCAGTTGTATTTAAAGCTGTGAGTTACTTCAAGTCTAAGAAGAAAGGTCAGGAGTCCATCCATCAATCCATCTTCTTATGCTTATCCAATTCCAATTAACAATTAACATTTTAAAGAACTGCGTATGATGAGGGATTTACATCACAGTGTTTAATGCTCATGTGTTTCCGGTTTATTACAAAACCCCGCTAACTGCATGTCTTTAAACTGTGGGAAGAAGCCCGAGTACCCAGCGAGAACCCATGCAGATACAGCATGAAAACTCCAAACACAAAGACTCTGGCCAGGTGACGGATTTGAACGCAGGCGTTTCTTGCTGTGAGGCGACAGTGCTAATTGTTGCACCACCATGCTGCCCAGGGGCTAAGAACCTATATCTTTTATATGCAGTCTACAAAAGGCCACATTGAATATAAAGCATGTGTACAATGAGAGATTAATGGAGGGGAGTATGACATCATACATCATACCTGATTCAAAACTTGGCATCTTCATTTCTCCTTGGTTTAGCTCTGTTCCATATTTTAACTTGTGGTATTTTGCTCTGAAAATGGAAAAAAGAGAAACTAATCATCAACCAATCAATTAACATGGTTAAAAATTAAAATTAACATAACATATTTTTAATGCATATTTTCTGCACATCAGTGTCACCCCCAAAACAGCGAAAAAAGCTCAAAGTGTGTGGTCGAAGAGAAAGGAAAACGGATTTCCACCATAGCAAAAGTGAAAATGTAAATGCCTTAAACAGATGAAACTGAAAGAAGGCTTTGGCAGATTCTTTATCAGTGAAACAGAAAGAATCTGAAGTATACAAATAATCTATTACATCACTAGTGCACAAAAGCAACCCAAGAATCACAGAACGAAGCAGTAATTTAACAGCAGTCTGAAGCAGAACTATAGAAAGCTGATTAACTTTGTATTCAAACAAATTAAACATATCCCTTTAATACACTAGTCCAGGTTATTTGGTATATTAAC